GAGCCCGAGTAAGATCCAGATACGGATGTTTGGAGGAATTGCGGTAGTAGTGGACTACCTTACCAGAGTTTAGGTAGGAGTGTGATCCGTAGTTGGCTGTGGGCTTTGAAGTGTCATAGGCCCATATGGTGTGCTGGGGTCGGAAGACCTGGGTCCGGATGGTATGGACTAGCTATACTTCATATCGAGTGGGCCTCCTCTGGGGTATTCTGGCTCAAGCCGCATCGGGACTGGGCCTAGGTTTTCCTCTTTGTCGGAAGTGTTATCCTACTTGGGCCCAGGACAATTTTTGGCCCCAACAGTCATGAGATTTATGGTTTTTATTTTGAATAAATTATGGAAAATTAAGGTTAGTTTCAAGTTGGTGCTTTTGCAAAAATTTCTTTCATGGTTCGATTGTTACATTGCATTATGGATCACCAAATAAGGTTTTTCTTGGTAAGAACAATACTTGCACGGTCAGCAACTCACTTATGGTTTATTCTGCATAGTATGGATAAACTGAAGAGGCATCCTCCTTTTTCTTGTCAAGAGGGATTGAATGAACTCAAGAACTTTGCTGGAAGGTTTGAGGAGAAGATGTATACTGCTGCAACAAGTCAGATACAATTTGATCTGAGTTCTATAATGTTCATTAATCTGTACATAAAACCTATTTCCATATATTTGTGCTTCATTTTCATGGTAGCCAATGTTAATCCTCCCTCTTTTCAAATTTCATTAAGTTATTTTTGTATCTTTTGCCTCGCATCATAGCATGGAGCTTTCCAAGGAAGATTTTCTAACCATATTGAGCCTCTGTCCTTATATTTGTTAGCTTTTTAGATCTTTTCTTTGATTTATTTATTTGTTTGTTTATGTTTAATAGCATATTCGCACATTGGGTCTTTCTTTTTTGGTGATTTTTGAATTTAAAGTACTATGAGATTTGAAATTTTATATTTATTTCAAATTTCAGTCAGATTATTTGCCGAAAATATGTTTGAAGATTCTTTCGATGGAGTCAAAATATCAAAATCCTATGCCTAATTCTTTGCCATCCAATACCGCTGCTAATAGCGACAAACCGCTGGATCAAGGTAACAACATTCATGAGAATTCTTCTCTTCAGACACAGAAAACTTCACTTGCAACTTGGTCTATCCCATCATGCTTTTTGGCTGATAGTGTTGGTTAAATCTATTCAAACATGTCATGAATTATCATCTCAATTATAGTAATCCAATTAATAATCTACAACTTTTGGATATTGATTACAAGCTTTGTGTTTTGAGAAGGACACAGGCTAGGGTGGGAAAACAAATCCGAAAACTGAACCAGTTATTTGGTTCAGTTTAGAACCGGTTCAAGCAGTAATTCGGTTCGCTTTTGGTTTGGATTTCTACTTGAACCGTTTTTCCGGTTCTGTTTGGAAAATGTCCAAACCAGTTCGGTTAACTGGTTTTTCCCACCCCTAACACTGGGTGTCGTGCGTCAAGCATGTCCCAAAAATCTTGGGAGCCTGGATATGGCAATGTGTATGTTTAATTTATAGATTCACTTGCGATTTTTAACCCATCCCATTCTGCTTTTTGGAAATACAATATGTTACCTTTAGAGATATAATCCATGATTTGTGACATTATTTAAGTTTTCATGTTTTTGACATCAACACAAGGTGTTAAACAATGTAACTTTAAAACTAAGGATAGGGTTGGTTCCTATATATGTGTATATTGTGTACATCTTTAGTAGAGGTGGGATTAATACACTTTGATGGTTAAAATTCACATCTGACACATAAATATTGCACTTTGGAAGACTAGTGTTCAAATATTCAAATTGAACCAATCTAATAGTCCACAAATCGCGTCATGATCTCTTTTTGAAAAAAGAGGCGTCATTGATCCTGTATTTGTAAGTATTATGTGATATTTTCACTTAACATTTTGCTGCCACTCTATGTTTTCACTTTTATCTGCTAAAAAATTCTCTCATTACGTTTTTTATTGGTCTTTGCCAGCCTGAGTGTGTGGTCTTCAGCAACATTAGGAGTTGGAAACACTTTGTTTAGCTGGGAATTATTAAGACTATGTTGAAGGCCTCGACCAGCATCACAGATTTACTACATATATAGACTTGTAGCCCTAAATAGTTTCGATATCATGATTATGAGTTTCAAAGCTCAAACTAAATAATGTAAATACGTATGATCCTAAGACTTTTAAAATCTTAAGATTGTTAACCGAATTGTTGTATGATTATAGACTGCAAAAAGCTTTAACTTATCATAAAGTGTATGTGAGAGTGCTTTGAATTGTATGGATTGCAGAAGTTTTACTTTAATTATCATATCATGTAGAAGTTATACTTCAAATATCATATGATGCATGGATTTCAGAACTTTTATTCGGTCAAGTAGGTTTTTGGCACTATGAAAAGTACTTTTAGGTGATCAAAAAGTCGATTTAAAATAACCAAAAACACTTTTAAACAGTCAAAACTATTTTGTTTGTGTCTTTTAAAGGTAGATTATGGTATGTTTTTAAGGATAGAACAAAGGTATTTGGTTGCTTTTAGTTTTCACTAATGTGAATTGAAGAAAACTTTGTTTGGTCATCTTCTGAGATATCATAACGGATTGACATGACAACAGAGTTGTGCCTAAAGGGAACTGGTGTCTCGTAAGTCGTAAGCTATTGGGTTGTGTTACGAGTTGAAAACTTTAATGACTATCTATCGGGCGTTTGCAATAACGATATATATGAGGGTGTGCATACACAGGTGTGTGAGAGAATGTCACAACCTTATTTCGGCAACAATGTGATAAGAGCAATAGGTGTGGAGAGCGTATGAGATTTGAGGGGTTTTGCAAGGCATTCATGTGGGGTGTGACAATTGAGACGTTAGATGTGTTTTCCCCTGATACATTGACAATGCTTTATAGGACTCTTTATTATGAGTGAGGTGTTGTGTGAAAGGGAAATGTAGGACTTGATAGGAGTTCTTCATGATCAACGATTAAGAAGGGATTAGGCCATAGAAAGTATTCGGATTGCTAATTTGCTTTCAAGATAATCACTAGTAAATATTTTTTTAAACTTGTTTTATGCTTTCTAAAATTCTTTTCTAATGAGTACAGAAAATATATGGTATGCATCTGTATGTCGTGCTAAAACTTAAACGTAAAATTGAAACCTATAACTTGTTTTGTTATGTGTTCGAGCAATTGTTCCAGTGCATGAATGCTTGAATATTGCTAGAGTTTAAGCAAAAAATTAAGTCTCTATTGTATTTTGAACATCATAAACCAAAGTTTCAAAATTTCAAAGCTAAGTTTAAAAATCATAATTTTGGTTCTTGCATGTTGAACCATTTGAATCCCTAAAAAACGATCTCAAAGTCTACTCCTTTCTTCATTATACACGGTTTTGTCTTATAAAAATTGTCGATGGCAGTTTTGAGGAGTGATATGAGGGCATGAATTAAAGGTAATAGTTTAGACACAAATACGTTTTCAATTTTCATTAAGAGAAAGGAGACTGGTAAATTTCTTCTTGTTGAAGTAAGCACAATGAACGTTATAATAAAATTGTTAAATTTAATAATTTGTACAATTTTATATATATTATTTTTAGTAATTTAATAATGAATTTGCAAATGAAAAGCATCTTGGTCATTAACATGTAGTCCAATTCTTTTACCCAAAAGCGGGAGGAGAGAACTACATTTTCGTCCTTATAGTTTTGATCTATTCATTAGGTTATTTATTTCAATTACTACCATTTTAGTCCTTTGACTTGATAGAACTTTGTTGACCGTAGATTAGTGTTAATTGACTTGAGAATTATACTAAAATGATGAAAATAACTCTGAATAGAATAAGGAAAAATGCATTACACAAACACAATACATTACGCACCAATCATTATTCATTATTTTTAGAATGATATTTTTGTCATTTTAGTATACTTTTTAATTCAATTAACAGTCTACTAACAGCGTGTTTAGTCAAAGGATCAAAATGTTTGTATATGAAATAAATGTAATTGTCTCAAAAGCAGACATATAATCCTTATCCGAACGAAAGGGAGTGATTTTTTTATTACTGGCATAATTCATTATTCATATTAATTTTGCCTTTAATTAATAAATATCCTCATATATCTATCAAATAATAATTAGCTCAAATGTGCAAAAATGACTTTTATAACTTCATAAATTAATTTTTTGGAAAGAAATATCTCTCACTATTTACATGAACAATACCCAAAATACCCTCAACCACCTAAGACGATTGTCAGCTATCGACCACCACTGTGGATTGTCGTCAATAGTCTTCGAAATAGCTCACGACCAATTAGATCTGGCCAACTGTACACCGATCCGATAGTTTTTGCCCAGATCCATGGTTGGTTAAAAATAAACGGCCAGATCCATAAATTTAGCTAGAAACGATCATGAATTTGGCCATCGTATCCGGCCATGGATCTAGCAAGAAACAGCCAAATCGGCACACAACATACCACATCTAATCGGTCGTATGTCGTTCCAACGACTATTGACAACGGTTGACAGTGGTGGTTGGTGGTCGATAATCGTCTTGGGAGGTTAGAGGTATTTTATTAAATTTTATACTTTTGTAATGATTGAGGTACTTTAACTAAATTCTGAAATGCAGATGATAAAAGAATTCTCTAAATAATAATAATATTAAAAAAAAAAAGATAATTTCATAAAGAGCAATACTAGTCTTATAAAGACAAAAACAAAAAAAGTATATAAAGACAATTTCTAACCTTCACCTTCATGATTTATCTCTCTTTCTCTTTTTTTTTTTTTTTTTTTTTTTTTTTTTTTTTTTTTTTTTTTTTTTTCTAATGTTATTTTGTAGCTTTTTTTTGTAATATCTTTATAAGGATAACATTTTTCTTCGATTGAAGTCTCTCCGATAATATTTTAATACGTCCGCCAATCTTTAATCCATTTTTCATTAATATATCATTCCATCATACAATAAATTAATATTGGCTTGGAATAAACGCTACCTGAAAACTTTGTTTCTTCGCTGCTTCACTTTCTCATGAGAGAAAACAAGCAATCAATGACGGGAAAATCTGGAAAGCATTTCTCTCTCAATGAGAATTCAAAGAAAATTACCAAACGAACGCCCCCTACCGCACACCATGACCAGGTGGTCTAGATTGATTTTTTCTCTTCTTTTCGTTTCTTTTTTAAAGGCAAATTTGCCTTTGCAAACTTGTCCCTGTGAATTTTTTTATCTGGGTATTCGTTGTTTTATGTGGGTGCTTCAGATATTCTTGTTTGTGGGTGTTTCAGATATTCTTGTTTATGGGTGTATACAGGATTGAAGGTCTTATTTTTCTCCAGAACATTTCCAATGAAACAACCGGATGCACTTTTGTTATTCTTTTTTACTATGATTACCTGAAGAACCGTAACCGGATGAAGTTATGCAGGAAACAACATATAGGATTTATAATTTATGTAAGGGCCTCTAGCTGCGAGTGCTATGAGATTAGATACTATGAATGTTGTTATGATCAAGATGGATTTCATTGAATTGAAGTTTTGAGAAAAAGAAAATAAATAAATGATGCAAATGACGTCCAGGCTCTTCGATGAGAATTTTTTTGTATTGAGAAAGATCAATATGCCCTGTTAACTGTAAATTTTTGCAGGAAAGACAGGTGGTAAGTATAGCTGTGATATGATAACTACTTGGATCATATAGCATCACAGCTGAAAGGCTTCCAAAATCATTAGATTACATGTACTTTGTGTATGCTATTTGATGTAGGGGGTTTCCATGGGAGATTCAGAATCCTATTTTATCTAGTTTACTTTATGTTAGAGGATTAATTACTATTATTTCATAATTTACTTTATGCTAGTAAGATTACTGTTATAACTGGACATTCTTTCTCATTAGATTTGTTTCCTCTATGTCTTAAGCTTTACTGTCTAGTACAAAAAGGAGTCTTTCTGAGCACCAGAGACATCATTAGTCTTGTATCTTAATTATTTTATCCATAAACGTCTAGTTTATTCTTCAAGAAATGGCCTGTTAGTTTCGTTAATCCTTTAGTGTTTTTGCCTTTTCAAATGGTATACAAGTCAGGTACTGCCCTACCTTTTGTGGCACGTAACAATTGGTGAAACAACAATGTTTCTCACAAGTATTTAATAACAAGGATCATAGGGTGAAAGTTGTCAAGGCAGATAACAACAGTTCAAGAACTTATTCTGTCAATATTTGATGATTTACTTCTTAAGCTGGTGAGGCTAGATACAACTGGCAACAAAAGTTTGAGGTAAAGGCAGATAAGGCCAAATGAGTACATTCCTCATTGTCCCTCCAGACGAACTCAAATATATTGCTGCAATGCCAGCATATCAAACAACAGCAGGAACAACAAATCATTTTTTTTTTTTTTTTACTTACACTTTTAGTTTGGTAACACAGAGTACTCTGAGATATAAAAATTTAGATTGATCTCAAATTTCATTTGGATTATCTACAGAAAAGATCTCTAAACGGGCTTACAATGGAGTTGAGGTCTCAAAATGCAGCAGCTATTTTTTTACAATCCAGCAATACTGGCAATAGCAACAGACTCCCTGGTCCAGGTAATGACATGAGAGAACATTTTACGTTTTGTATTTGATTTATGGTAGCTTTACTTGAAAGTATTATGTGATATTTTCTCTTTACGTTTAGCTGCAATTGTATCTTCACTTTTATCCAATAATACCATCTATTGTTATGATTTCTATTTTTTTTTTTTTTTTTTTTTTTTTTTTCTGCCAACTTGAATGTGCTCTTCCCTAACATTAAGATTCAGAATAGTTTGATAAACTGGAAACTATTTAGAATTTCTAGAGGGCCTTGCAAAGCATTATAGCTTCACACATATGTATACTTGTATCTATAACAGTTTCACCATCATGATTTGCATTTCAAACCTCAAAGTAGATAAGTAAACAAATATGATCCAGAGACTTTTGAAAATCTTAAGATTATTAACTAAATTGTCATGTAATTTATCTTATGAAGTGCTGAGGAATTTTGACATGCATGGTTGATTGTGAAAAGCAATGAAATTTTTCTGTCATCTTTATCCTGTTGGAAGAGTGCACAAATGTTGTCTTTTTATTATTATTATTATTATTTTATATATATATATATATATTTTACTGATTGTTTTCTGGTAGCCCTATTTCATTATGCTCCTTGGTTCATTTATATCATATGAATTACTTGTTTGCCTGTGATTTTTCTTTTTGTGTTGCTGTCAATTCCTCTGTCAAAACTTGCATGGTATGATCCCGTTTACCTTATGCTATTTGAACTTAGATTTATTGCATGAAATGTTCTTTTCATTTGGATTACTTTCTGATCTTTTAACTGAATCACACATGTATAATTTCTTTTTGCTAGAGCAATGGTGTCCTGAGTCTGACTCATGTTTGTCTCAGTTATTTTTCTTTTTAACAATTTCCTGGCGAAATTACATGCACACAAGTTTAATAATGTTAGCATCTCTAGATTGCACAGCCCATATAGGACAATCAAAGAGGGGTGATTGGAAAGAGGAGGTCTATCAAAAGGTATTTCGTTATGCCCCTTAGATGAAGTTTACTTATAATCTTGGTAAAACAATATATATATTTTGAAGGTGCGGTCATGGGTTTGATGGGGTAAATTTTGATTTGGAAAAAACTACAGTCCCTTAAGAATGATTGTAGTTGCTGGAACAACAGGGAATAACCAATTAGAAACTATGAACATACCATAGTGACAAGTTGAAGAATTTAAGATTGACATCTTGCAAAAAAATTTATTTGCAGATTAAAGCCATGAAAGAGATGTATTTACTGGAATTAAACGAAATGTATCAGAAAATATCTGCTAAACTGCAACAGGTAAGTCACTGGTTTTGTATATTTCCTTGATGCCTCGCCTTATTTATTAACTAGGATTTCATCTTAGCTCTGGAGGCAGTAGCTTACATTTTAGCTGTTATATGCTAATTAAATTTTTCTGGCCTGTTTTCATCAGAAGATCTTTTGCTCATATCAACCAAACCTCTCACCTCCACCTCGCTCTCTTGAGAAACACACATTTAAAAAAAAAAAGAAAAAAAAAGGAATCTTTTTACCGACATTTTTGCTTAAATATTTTGTTAACTTGTTATTTTATCCGTTAATAGAGTTGGGGTTCTTACTGTGTAAACTGTACTATCTACCTGCCAGCATGATTCTCATCCTCAACAACTAAAGTGGGAACAGGCTGAGAAGCTGAAAATTTTTAAGACCGTGTTGGAGCGTATTATAACATTCTTACAGGTGTCCAAAAGTAATATCTCACCTAATTTAAGGGAAAAGCTGGGTTCCTACGAGAAGCAGATTATCAATTTTATAAATGTAAATAGGCCCAGGAAGTCTGTTTCTTCACTGCAGCCAGGGCAACTTCCCCCACCTCATATGCATTCCATGCAGCAGCCACAGTCACAACTTACTCAAGTTCAGCCCCATGACAATCAAATGAACCCACAGATACAATCAATGAACTTACAAGGTAATTCATGAAAGAACATTTTACGTCATGTGATGCATTTATTTTATCTTCAGTTGCAATTTAACCCATCCCATTATGCTTTTTGGCAAGTACTATTTTATCTTTATTCATACACTTACCCGAATGAATGAATTGTTGTGATAGACCCAACACTAAGGATAATAATTTAGGGCAAAACAAATAAGGATAATTAATAACATACAAAACACAATAATTCTCGTGGTTCGGCTTTTTAGCCTACATCCAAGGGCGAAGATAAAGGAAGAATTTCACTAAGAAAATGGAGTACACAAATTTTGGTGGAAAAACTCTCAAACTCAAATCCCAAATACACCCAATATCTCTCACACTCAAAAACTCACTCCCTTAATGTAGCTCTCTGAAAACGGTTTCTAAAATGACTTGAGAGCTTTGGTGAATGGCTTGTCTTTTTCCCTTGCAAATTACACCCATATTTTTTCTTCCAATATTGACTTCTATTTGTGAGACATGAAGCACAATTTTTTCTTCCAATTCGGTGATATTAATTACCACCAAAGAAGTCAAAAATTCACCAAGACAAGGACTCTTGAATTTGATGAAGGGAAAAACAAATGGGAATGAAATTTTCTCTAGTTAAAACAATATTCAAACCACCTTTTTTAGATGAATAATTCTCAATTATATTATTCTGAAGAAGAATATGATGTTTGATTTATGACATTGATATAGGTTTTTGTGTTTTTGACATGGACATGAGGTATGAAATACTATTAACTTTCTAAAACCTAGGCATTGGATTATTGGATCGATCTAATAGTCCAAAAATTGTCATAATTGATCCTGCACTTGTAATCATTATATGATATTTTCACTTCACATTTTGCTGCAATTATATTTTCACCTGTATCCATTAATACATTCTCTTGTTATGTGTTCTATTGGTTCTTTTTCCAGCCTTAATGTGCTCTTCAACCACATTAATAGTCAGAACAATTTGATAATCTGAAAATTATTAAGACTCTTTTAAGGGCCTGGAGAAGCATTATAGATTTACTACATCTATATATTTGTAGCTATACGTTGTTTCAATATCATGATTTATGTTTCAAAGATTAAACTAAAAAATCCTGAGCCTTCTGAAAATCCGGAGATTCTTAACTGAATTGTCATGTAATTTATCTGGTTAAGTGTCTTGGATTTTTATATACATAGTTGATTATGAAAATCAATGAATTGTTTTTTCACCTCTGTCTTGTTGGAAGAGATCATAAATGCTCTCTTTTTGTTCATTTATTTGTTACAGGAGAAGTGGATGCTCTAATCTTTTCTGTATTAGTTGTTTTCTGGTGAACCTTATTTCATTATACTCTTTTTTTCATTTATATTGAATGAATTATGTACTTGCCCGTGATTTGTTTTCTGTATTTGTAAGTATTATGTGATATTTTCACTTAACATTTTGCTGCCACTATGTTTTCACTTTTATCTGCTAATACATTCTCTCATTAAGTTTTCTATTGGTTTTTGCCAGCCTAAGTGTGTGGTCTTCGGCAACATTAAGAGTTGGAAACACTTTGTTTAGCTGGGAATTATTATGACTATGTTGAAGGCCTTGAGAAGCATTATAAATTTACTACATATATAGACTTGTAGCCCCAAATAGTTTTGATATCATGATTCTGAGTTTCAAAGCTGAAACTAAATAATGTGGATGGATATGATCCTAAGACTTTTAAAATCTTAAGATTGTCAACTGAATTGTTGTATGATTATAGACTGCAAAAAGTTTTAACTTATCATAAAGTGTGTTTGAGAGTGCTTTGAATTGTTAAATGTTTTATGGATTGCAGAAGTTTTACTTCAATTATCATATGATGCATGGAATTCAGAACTTTTATTCGGTCAACTAGGTTTTTGGAAGTGCTTTTGGCACTATGAGAAGTAATCAAAAAGTCGATTTAAAGTAAGCAAAAACACTTTTAAATCAAATTCTAAACAGTGAAATCAATATGTTTTCCCCGAATCTTTTAGAAAGCAAACAATTAATAACAATCTCAAGAACAAGAATAAACTTTCTTGGAAACTAATGTTGTAAACCAGATGTTGATTTATCACCATCTTGGTCGTGACGGAGTTACTGTTCTGGAATTATGTGGTCTCATCATGAAGTGCATTCTTTTGAACATCAAGAGATCTATTTACTTCAAATTCTTTTTCAATGGAGGATCATGATCACTCCATCTGCGCTCCTTTCTACCAGCAACATTTATGAGTTTGAAACTAAAATTGTAAAGTACAACCTTTCTATGATTATAATGGTAAGACTAATTAATTTTATTACGATGAGGAGATTATAATTTAATAGAACTGTATTTACAAAAATTTCTTATTTTATAATTCATGTTTTAGTAGTAAAGTATTAGGATTTCAATTCATGTTTTCAATTCAGCGTTTCAATTGTCTACTTTTTAAACGAATAGAAGATCGTATCTTAAAATCAACAAAGATAAGTGTCATTGATGAAATTGTAAATACAGTTACTAAATGGTTAAACTGATGTGAAGCTATAGACAATTGTTAATTGTTTAAGCATTACAAAATTAGGACCATGATGTCGATGAATTGCAAGTTATAAATTAAGTGGATGAGAAGAATGAAAGAGTCATTGTAGAATTGAGTGATCAGATTAGATATTGGTGTTGCTCTTGGTGCTAGTTCAATACTAAACTCAACCTCTCTTTCCAGTGGCAAACCTGTTAAGTCTTCCGGAAACACATCTAAAAATTCTCGAACTATCGGCACCCTCTGAATTTCTGGCTGTGGAACATCACCACCCTGCACTACATGGGCAATATATCCGAAACACCCCTTTCTCAACATCTTTTTAGCCTTTACACTACTAATCAACATACTCAACTGATGGCCCTCTCCAAAACTAAACTTATCTCCGCTATCGAGATTAAATCTCGCTTTTTTCTTCCGACAATCAATTTCTACTTCATATCTCCCTAGGAAGTCCAGGCATATCAAAAACTATTAAATCAACTGCTAACTCTCGTCCATGGATCACTACGGATTCTCCCAATAACATCTCTTGAATCAAAACACTCACCCCATCAGGTAACTCTATCTTAATAGGTTAACTCACTCTAATATGTTTCAAACCTAATCTCTCTATCATCCTATGAGAAATAAAAGAATGGATAGCCCCAGAATCAATTAAAGCATATAAGGAAACAGCGTGGAATAACAACTGACCAGTTACAACTGATGGACTGGCCTCGGCTTCACCCTATGCCACTGTAAACACTCTGGCATTGGTACCTCTAGAAGTCTGAGCTATAGGTGGAAGAGGAATCGGTGGAAGGGGAACTTTACAATCCCTCATCAGATGCCCTGGTATCGGCACCTGTAACATACATTTCTATCCCTCAAACACTCTTTTGTATGGTTCCTCCTGCATTTAGTGCAAGGGGGAAACCCTTCGGTCCTGGGCTGCTTGTTCTGCCAGTCTCTCCTGTTTCTCTTAGGTTGAAACTTCTTCTTGACCCTTACATCTTTGTTCCTTGAGACATCTATTCTCTCCCTCTATAAAGTAGTGGATGGTTCACTGGGTACCGCTGGAGGTAACCCTTCTGCAAGATATTTGTTTACATAGATCTCTGCCCTTAAAGCCCTTGCTAGAGCTTCACTGTAAGTATAAGGGGGCTCGGCTCCTATCATAAGATCTCGGGCAATATCTGATCTCAACCTTTGCACAAACTTATCTCTCCTTAACTCCAGTGTATACACTATCCCGGGTGCAAAACGAGCAAGGGAGTTGAATCTTACTAAATATTTTTTCACAGTACTAGTCCCCTACTTCAGATGAATAAACTCTTGGACTTTCTCATGTACTCAATCTTCTATTCGATACTCAGCCTCAAACAATCTTCTGAATTCTTTCCAGGTCATCGAGGCCATATCATGAGTCTCTTCTATTAATTCCCACCAAATCCGAGCATCTCCCTTAAATAAGAAACTAGCATATCTAATCCTCTCTTTATCATTCATAGGAAACAGTGTCGTCGTCCGCTCTACGGACTTAAACCACTCCTCTGCCTCTAACGGGTCCCTAGTACCCCTAAACGTTGGCGGCTAGTGCCGGTTTGCAAGGCCTTGAATTGAATCAACCCGAGTCTATACTGTCTGAGGTACCGGCCTTTCTCGCTCTTGTCTGGTGGGTGGTACTCTACTGGGGGTCTCGGTTCTCTCCTGAACAATTTTCCCCTGACTCTCCGCTAATACCTGCTGGACAACAGTTCGAATCATCGTCTCATCAAGGGTAGGGGGAGTTGGTTCTGATGGGTTAGAGGATTCTCTCTCGTTCATCACACTCTTACCCTTCCTCCTGTTACTACGTCTCATCTACAAAACAACCATACTTGATCAATTTAAAGAAAACTTAACGTAAGGAAAAAATTAACTTACACAGTCGGCTCTCGGACATTGTAGCGACGAGAATGGTACACTGTCAAATCCCAAAATCTCGGCTCTGATACCAAAAATGTAATAGCCGCTTTCTACTCAAATATTCATAAAACATGTACATAATAAAATACATATAAAATAGCATAAAAAGGTTGGGCCCAAAATTTTCTTTTATTAAACGTATATATTCTTTTACAAAAAAGTTGTATCATGTACAAATGATCAAAATAAGGTGGACAGTGTAGCCATTTCCCTTCGCTTGCCGATGCCCATCTGACTGTGTCCTCACCTAGATCCTGCAAAAACATGGAAAACAACGGGGTGAGCACAACTAATGCTCAGTAAGCAAATCCTCTACTCATCTATCCCCGTAACTCTCTCTCTCTAATTCTTTCCTTATAATTCTCATTTACTTTCTCTTTCTTATACTTCTCTCTATTTTCTCTTTCACATAACTCTTTTCTACTGACTCTCTTTAGTAGTCACGACCTCATCTTACCGGAGGCACGGCTGAGACTCACTCCTGCTCTACGTGACTTCTCCTCATTCTAGCCGATCGGACTCGGTTATACATGGATTCGGAACCCTTGGCCATGTGAGTGTATAAACTCTCTCTCTCTCAGGTACTCTCAGGTATAGCCCTCATCCACATGTACTCTCGCGGGCTACACCACTTCTCTCTCTCATACTCATGTCGCTCTCTCAATGCGGCGTACATGCGGGAATACTCTACCCATTACTCACGGGTTCCCCATCGCACAACCTATTCTATTCTCTTTTCTCTCTTTTATTCTCTAGTGTTGATTCTCTCGTTCTCTTTACTATTAGAGTTGCTAATTCTCAACATTCTGTACTCTTTCTCCAATTAGTATTCATAGTGTAACTTATACTCAAAAATCTCTACTCTCTCTCAAGCTATTACCCAAAACACAAGTAAATGCACATGGGTGGTCTATGCTCATTAATGCAATTAGGAGATGCCAAGATGCCATGTTACAAGAATTAAGGTTGACTAATCATACTCATATTTCTCTTAGGCATTTCATCAAACAACTCATGTGTATATAAAAACTCTACTCTAATTACTACTCTACTTCATTCTCTAGCCATCCAAAATGGGAGAAAACTCCCTCATATAACCATAATCCCTATCAAAGAAAACACTTCCAAATAGGTTTACACAACATCTCCCAAAACTTCATCTAAATCTCCACTTCTCCATACACACTAAAACACTTCTCATACATGAAGTGTATCCAACAACCACAAAATAGCTACTTATCTCAACTAAATTTCTCATCAAGCATACTACATACTTATACATGCATACATCTCTACTCAATCTCTACTCAAAAGCTTATTCAAATCTCAACTTGGTTTGATTTACTTACCTTGTGAAAAAATGACTTCTCTACCACTTTTCCTTCCCCTTGTTGTCTTGTCTTCTCTCATCAACTTAAAACAACAACAAGAACAATAATAACAATATAAGACTTCAATATAACCATAAGCAAAACTCATCCTTACCTTAGGATGCTTGAGATGAAATTTCTACTAAAATTACCCAAAAGCTCTCTTAAACCCCTTAGAAATCTTAGGAAAATTGAAAGGAAAATTGAGAGAATTGGTATGGCGGTGGAACTGAATGAAAATGAAGGGTTTATGTCACTTAACGCTTTTTAGCTCATATTATAACCTTCCTTTCCCATTTTGCCCTTGTTTTTTCTTAGAAATTTCATCTATATCCTTTGATTCATTACATTCACACCCCCACACTAACCTATTTTCCATTAAATTTCTTTACATTTTACTCCCCACTTTTCCTGCTAATTAGGGGTAGAATAGTCATTTTTCCCCTATGGAGAAATATTTAGAAACCTCAAGAAAACTTTTCTGCCGTCCCGTCGCCGTGGCGAAGAAATTCCGTCGCCCCGACGAAAACTGACAGAATCGACACCGTAATTATAAAGTCAACGTCGCCGCAGCAAAGACTATTCTTCGCCCCGGCGAAGACTGCCATTCCAAAATTCCTCAAATTTCAATCAATTTCAAGGCAAACACTCAACCAACTCAACATACAACTCAATTGAAGCTGACTGAATGAACATTTAAGTAATACAGCAAATCTTAAATACGTACTTCAAGTAGGGCGTTACAAAAAGCCTCTATGATAATATTTACATCTACCAATCTTTAATCTATTTTTCATTAGAGCAATGTTACAGTTATCGAAGAATGTGTATCGAATTTATGCACCAAATTACGTAATACAATCCTGATTAGTCAATAATCAGGATTACAGTACATCATTCATACATAAATTTGGCGTGCATTAACGGTACTGTATTATTTCCCTTTTCATTAATATATCATTCCTTCGTACAATAAATTAATATTGGATCGGAGTCAACGCAACCTGAAAACTTTGTTTCTTCGCTGCTTCTCTTTCTCATGAGAGAAAACAAGCAATCAATGACGGGAAAATCTGTAAAGCCTTTCTCTCTCAATGAGAATTCAAAGAAAATTATCAAACGAACGCCCCCTACCGCACACCATGACCAGGTAGTCTAGATTGATTTTTTCTCTTCTTTTCGTTTCTTTTCGTTTCTTTTTTAAAGGCAAATTTGCCTTTACAAACTTTTCCCTGTGAATTTTTTTATCTGGGTATTCCTTGTTTTATGTGGGTGCTTCAGATATTCTTGTTTGTGGGTGCTTCAGATATTCTTGTTTGTTGGTGCTTCAGATATTTTTGTTTGTGGGTGTTTCAGATATTGTTGTGTATACAGGATTGAAGTTCTTATTTTTCTCCAGAACATTTCCAATGAAACAAACAGATTCACTTTTGTTATTCTTTTTTACTATGATTACCTGAAGAACCGTAACCGGATGAAGTTATGCAGGAAACAACATATAGGATTTATAATTTATGTAAGGGCCTCTAGCTGCGAGTGCTCTGAGATTAGATACTATGAATGTTGTTATGATCAAGATGGATTTCATTGAATTGAAGTTTTGATAAAAAGAAAATAAATAAATGATGCAAATGACTTCCAGGCTCTTAGATGAGAATTTTTTGTATTGAGAAAGATCAATATGCCCTTTTAACTGTAAATTTTTGTAGGAAAGACAGGTAGTGAGTATAGCTGTGATATGATAACTACTTGGATCATATAGCATCACAGCTGAAAGGCTTCCAAAATCTTTAGATTACATGTACTTTGTGTAATGCTATTTGATGTAGGGGGGTTTCCATGGGAGATCCAGAATCCTATTTTATCTAGTTTACTTTATGTTAGAGGATTAATTACTATTCTTTCATAATTTACTTTATGCTAGTAAGATTACTGTTATAACTGGACATTCTTTCTCATTAGATTTGTTTCCTCTATGTCTTAAGCTTTACTGTCTAGTACAAAAAGGAGTCTTTTTTAGCACAAGAGACATCATTAGTCTTGTATCTTAATTATTTTATCCATAAACGTCTAGTTTATTCTTCAAGAAATGGCCTGTTAGTTTCGTTAATCCTTTAGTGCTTTTGCCTTTTCAAATGGTATAAAAGTCAGGTACTGCCCTACCTTTTGTGGCACATAACAAGTGGAGAAACAACCATGTTTCTCACAAGTATTTAATAACAAGGGTCATAGGGTGAAAGTTGTCAAGGCAGATAACAAAAGTTCAAGAACTTATTCTGTCAATATTTGATGATTTACTTCTTTAATTGGTGAGGCTAGATACAACTGGCAACAAAAGTTTGAGGTAAAGGCAGATAAGGCCAAATGAATCCATTCCTCATGGTCCCTCCAGACGAATATTGCTGCAATGTCAACATATCAAACAACAGCAGGAACAACAAATCATTTTTTTTTTCTTTTTTTTACTTATATTTTTAGTTTGGTAACACAGAGTACTCTGAGATATAAAAATTTAGATTGATCTCTAATTTCATTTGGATTATCTACAGAAAAGATCTCTAAACGGGCTTACAATGGAGTTGAGGTCTCAAAATGCAGCAGCTATTTTTTTACAATCCAGCAATACTGGCAATAGCAACAGACTCCGTGGTCCAGGTAATGACATGAAAGAACATTTTACGTTTTGTATTTGATTTATGGTAGCTTTACTTGAAAGTATTATGTGATATTTTCTCTTTACATTTAGCTGCAATTTTAGCTTCACTTTTATCCAATAACACCGTCTCTTGTTATGATTTCTATTTTTTTTTTTTTTTTTTTCCTGCCAACTTGAATGTGCTCTTCCCTAACATTAAGATTCAGAATAGTTTGATAAGCTGGAAACTATTTAGAATTTCTAGAGGGCCTTGCAAAGCATTATAGCTTCACACATATATATACTTGTATCTATAACAGTTTCACCATCATGATTTGCATTTCAAACCTCAAAGTAGATAAGTAAACAAATATGATCCAGAGACTTAAGAAAATCTTAAGATTATTAACTAAATTGTCATGTAATTTATGTTACGAAGTGCTGAGGAATTTTGACATGCATGGTTGATTGTGAAAAGCAATGAAATTTTTCTTTCATCTTTATCTTGTTGGAAGAGTGCACAAATGTTGTCTTTTTATTATTATTATTATTATTGTTATATTATACTGATTGATTTCTGGTAGCCCTATTTCATTATGCTCCTTGGTTCATTTATATCATATCAATTATTTGTTTGCCTGTGATTTTCTTTTTTGTGTTGCTGTCAATTCCTCTGTCAAAAGTTGCATGATATGATCCCATTTAGCTTATGCTATTTGAACTTAGATTTCTTGCATGAAATGTTCTTTTCATTTGGATTACTTCCTGATCATTTTAACTGAATCACACATGTATAATTTCTTTTTGCTAGAGCAATGGTGTCCTGAGTCCAACTCATGTTTGTCTCAGTTATTTTTCTTTTTAACAGTTTCCTGGTGAAATTACATGCACAAAAGTTTAATAATGTTAGCATCTCTAGATTGCACAGCCCATACAGGACATTCAAAGAGGGGTGATTGGAAAGAGGAGGTCTATCAAAAGGTATTTCGTTATGCCCCTTAGATGAAATTTACTTATAATCTTGGTAAAACAATACATATATTTTGAAGGTGCGGTCATGGGTTTGATGGGGTAAATTTTGATTTGGAAAAAACTACAGTCCCTTAAGAATGATTGTAGTTGCTGGAACAACAGTGAATAACCAATTCGAGACTATGAACATACCATAGTGACAAGTTGAAGAATTTAAGATTGACATCTTGCAAAAAAATTTATTTGCAGATTAAAGCCATGAAAGAGATGTATTTACTGGAATTAAACGAAACGTATCAGAAAATATCTGCTAAACTGCAACAAGTAAGTCACTGATTTTGTATATTTCCTTGAAACTTAATGCCTCGCCTTATTTATTAACTAGGATTTCATCTTAGCTCTGGAGGCACTAACTTACATTTTAACTGTTATACGCTAATCAAATTTTTCTGGCCTGTTTTCATCAGAAGATCTTTTGCTCATGTCAACCAAACCTCTTGCCTCCACCTTGCTCTTTTGAGAAACACACATTAAAAAAAAAAGAATCTTTTTACCAACATTTTTGCTTAAATATTTAGTTAACTTGTTATTTTATCCGTTGATAGAGTTGGGGTTCTTACTATATAAACTGTACTATCTACCTGCCAGCATGATTCTCATCCTCAACAACTAAAGTGGGAACAGGTTGAGAAGCTGGAAATTTTTAAGACCATATTGGAGCGTATTATAACATTCTTACAGGTGTCCAAAAGTAATATCTCACCTGATTATAGGGAAAAGCTGGGTTCCTACGAGAAGCAAATTATCAATTTTATAAATGCAAATAGGCCCAGGAAGCCTGTTTCTTCACTGCAACCAGGGCAACTTCCCCCACCTCATAGGCATTCCATGCAGCAGCCACAGTCACAACTTACTCAAGTTCAGCCCCATGACAATCAAATGAACCCACAGATACAATCAATGAACTCACAAGGTAATTCATGAAAGAACATTTTACATCATGTGATGCATTTATTGTATCTTCAGTTGCAATTTAACCCATCCCATTATGCTTTTTGGCAAGTACTATCTTATCTTTATTCATACACTTACCCGAATGAATGAATTGTTGTGATAGACCCAACACTAAGGGCAAAACAAGTAAGGATAATTAATAACATACAAAACACAATAATTCATGTGGTTCGACTTTTTAGCCTACATCCAAAGGCAAAGATAAAGGAAGAATTTCACTAGCAAAGTGGAGTACACAAATTTTGGTGGAAGAACTCTCAAACCCAGATCCCAAATACATCCAATATCTCTCACACTCAAAAACTCACTCCCTTAATGTAGCTCTCTGAAAACGGTTTCTAAATTGACTTGAGACCTTTGGTGAATGTCTTGTCTTTTTCCCTTTCAAATGACACCCATATTTTTTCTTCCAATATTGACTTCTATTTGTGAGACATGAAGCACAATTTTTTCTTCCAATTCGGTGATATTAATTACCACCTAAGAAGTCAAAAATTCACCAAGACAAGGACTTATGAATTTGATGAAGGGAAAAACAAATGGGAATGAAATTTTCTCTAGTTAAAACACCATTCAAACCACCTTTTTTAGATGAATAATTCTCAATTATATTATTCTGAAGAAGAATATGATGTTTGATTTATGACATTGATATAGGTTTTTGTGTTTTTGACATGGACATGAGGTATGAAATACTATTAACATTCTAGAACCTAGGCATTGGATTAGTGGATCGAGCTAATAGTCCAAAAATTGTCATAATTGATTCTGCACTTGTAATCATTATATGATATTTTCGCTTCACATTTTGCTGCAATTATATTTTCACCTGTATCCATTAATACATTCTCTTGTTATGTGTTCTACTGGTTCTTTTTCCAGCCTGAATGTGCTCTTCAACCACATTAATAGTCAGAACAATTTGATAATCTGAAAATTATTAAGACTCTTTTAAGGGCCTGGAGAAGCATTATAGATTTATTACATCTATATATTTGTAGCTATACGTTGTTTCAATATCATGATTTATGTTTCAAAGATTAAACTAAAAAATCCTGAGCCTTCTGAAAATCCGGAGATTCTTAACTGAATTGTCATGTAATTTATCTGGTTAAGTGTCTTGGATTTTTATATACATAGTTGATTATGAAAATCAATGAATTGTTTTATGACCTCTTTCTTGTTGGAAGAGATCATAAATGCTCTCTTTTAGTTCATTTATTTGTTACGGGAGAAGTGGATGCTCAAATCTTTTCTGTATTAGTTGTTTTCTGGTGAACTTTATTTCATTATACTGTTTTTTTCATTTATATCGAATGAATTACGTACTTGCTGTGATTTGTTTTCACTTAACATTTTGCTGCCACTATGTTTTCACTTTTATCTGCTAATACATTCTCTCATTAAGTTTTCTATTGGTTTTTGCCAGCCTAAGTGTGTGGTCTTCGGCAACATTAAGAGTTGGAAACACTTTGTTTAGCTGGGAATTATTATGACTATGTTGAAGGCCTTGAGAAGCATTATAAATTTACTACATATATAGACTTGTAGCCCCAAATAGTTTTGATATCATGATTCTGAGTTTCAAAGCTGAAACTAAATAATGTGGATGGATATGATCCTAAGACTTTTAAAATCTTAAGATTGTCAACTGAATTGTTGTATGATTATAGACTGCAACTTATCATAAAGTGTATTTGAGAGTGCTTTGAATTGTTAAATTTTTTATGGATTGCAGAAGTTTTGCTTTAATTATCATATGATGCATGGATTTCAGAACTTTTATTCGGTCAAGTAGGTTTTTGGAAGTGCTTTCGGCACTATGAAGTTTTAGGTAATCAAAAAGTCCTATTTAAATCTATCATCTAAAGGTGGATTATGGTAGATAAAAATGTTTTTGAAGGACAGAAGAAAGGTATTCGGTTGCTTTTAGTTTTCGATCGTGTTTGTTGTAGAAAACTTTGTCTGATCATCTTCCGGGACATGACATAGATCTGAACCTGTCATGTTCTAATCAAATTTATCTGGCCCTTTTTTATCAGCACATATCTACCGAGTCCCCTCCACCTCACCTGGCTTAAGGAAAAAAAAGTATATTCTTTCTACCCAGTGGCGGACCCAGGATATTTGTTCTGGGGGGCCCCTCGCTCTGCCATTGTTTGCCGATCAACTGGTGAAAACATAAGAAAATAATATCAAATTCACAAGGAAACACAAGCAAATTGTTACGTGAAAAAACCTCTTCAATGTGAAGAGATAAAAAAAATCACGAGAATCTAACGATCGACTTAAATTCAATATAATCAAATGAGTTTACTGATGTGTATTTTTGACAAACATACAAATGTAGAAATTGTACTAGCCTCAAAAAGTAATAAAGTGATAAGTAGAGTATCGTTTCCACTCGGATAGTGTTACTCAGTACCGATTTCTCTAGTTTAAGTCCTAATTAAAGTAACAATAAATTGGATTGGTGGAAAATTAAAGAACTAAATACAATTTAAGAAAATATAAATGAATGATAATGAAATTAAAGCAAAACCCAACAATTTAACTAATTAAACAAAATGCTAAAAAAAATACTAGGGTGTTGATTTCACCTAGATACGCTAACACAAATCATAGAATCTATTACCAAAGTTCTAATTCCTTGATTGAAAATGGAATTCCCTAAGTTTTAGAAAATACCTTCTCCAGCTATATTTTCTTACTTATCCCTACTAAGCTTTTGCACCCAACAAAATGAAGATTAATAGTTCAAAGTCTTTTAAGCTTTATGAAATTCTATTTAGATTTCATAAATCGTTGAACCTATCTCTAGCGTTTGCTTAATCTACGATATTTATCCTAAGAGGCACAATTACAAATCACTTCTCAGTCTCATTGTGAACAACACACATTTGAATAGTGATCAAGTATCCAAAAGTCATTAAGCAAAGAGATAAACACTCAATCATTAAATTAAAACTCAAAGTAAATCAATTCATATAAATTTGAATCATTGTATCAAGGTTACATCAAACCCTAGCTAAACAACTCAGTTCATACTCAAAAACAAAATAAAATAACAAAAACAAACCTAATCAAGATTTATCATTGAAAAACAAGCAAAAGATGGAGAAATCTTCTCTAATTTGAAGTCCAAATCTTCAATAATCTTCTCCTTCCAAGAACTGCCTTCCAAATGACGAACCAAGACCCTTTTTCTTTCATTTTTGTGCTAATTTCCTCTTTCACCCCTAGTAAGCCAAAACGCATCGTTTTATTTTTCACATCTGACACAGTTTTGCCGCAGTGGAGCTCTTTCCTTGCCGTAGTGAGAATCTTTCGGGCCAAATTTGAGCATAAAAGAGCCTGAATATGGAAAAGTCTTAAACATATGAATTGTAGCCCTTTAAATTATCTTTATACTCGTTTAAAAATCAGCACAATCAAAGGTCTACAGCTCAAGTTATGACAGAAATACTGAAGCACGTCTAAAGACATTTTTCTTCAGTTTCCAACATACTGTTTATGACTTCAAGCCAAGTTTTCACCCTTGTCCAGTCAGAATTAGATTGTAGCTCTGCTTCTTAGCTTTCCAAAGCTTCTAAAATCAGGTCATTCTGAGTTTCCAAGATCAAGTTACGAAATTTACGCTCAAAACTGTCATTTATGCTCAAAAATCATCGTTTAAGTCTACAAAGACAAATTAATAGAATTAGGTAACAATTATGGCCTAAATTGTATAAGAAGTATCCTAAATCCTATCGTAATTCAATGCAAAATCATAGGAAAAAAATCGGATTATCATTTACAACAACCACAAATCCACCAAAAATATTCTATACAAATTTAGAGTTCAATCACAACTCTAACAAAAGTAAAATACATAAAAGATTTACAAAAATATGGATTACAATCACTCAAAATCCGGATGTGCATGTAAATGGGAAGTTGGGAATTGGGGAAGAAAAACTTAGAATATAAAAAAGACAAACCTAACTTTTTAATTTATTAACTTTTAAACGTTTTTGTTTTTTTTTTTTTTTTTTTTGAGCTTTTAAAAAAACTTGTCAATTTGTTTTTTAAAGTTGAGGACAGGCCTACCGTCAAGGGGCCTGGGTCCGCCCCTGTTTCTACCAACATTGTTCCTATCCTTGAAGGAATTCAGGTACTTATTATGTAAACTGTTCTCTTTGCTTGTCAGCATGATTCTCTTCTGCAAAATTCAACGTCGGAGCAGATTGAGAAGGTGAAAATGTAAAGGTCACCAAAGACGATATCTCACCTAATTATAAAGAAAAGCTGGGTTCGGATGAGAAGCCTGTTTTTTCACTGCAGCAAGGGCAAATTCCTCAGCATTCCATGGAGGAGTCGCAATCACAAATTACTGACCTCCAACAGCAGCAAAACTTGCTAAAGCCTACTCATCTCAAGGTGGAGATGTTGAGAGAACAACAATATAAATGCAAACTAAAATCAAATTCTGAACAGCGAAATCAATATGTTTTCCCCGAATCTTTTAGAAAGCAATTAACTAGACAATCTCAAGAACAAGAATAAACTTTCTTGGAAACTAATGTTGTAAACCAGATGTTGATTTATCACCATCTTGATCGTGACCGGAGTTACTGTTCTAGAATTATGTGGTCTCATCATTAAGTGCATTCTTTTGAACATCAAGAGATCTATTTACTTCAATTTCTTTTTCAATGGAGGATCATGATCACTCCATCTGCTCTCCTTTCTAGTCTCTAGTAGCAACATTTATGAGTTTGAAACTAAAATTGTAAAGTAAAACCTTTCAATAGTCATAATGGTAAGGCTAATTAATTTTATTATAATAAAGAGGTTATATAATTTAATAGAGTTATATTTACAAAAATTTCTTATTTTATAATTCATGTTTTAGTAGTAAAGTATTAGGATTTCAATTCGTGTTTTCAATTCAGCGTTTCAATTGTCTACTTTTTAAATGAATAGAAGATCGTATTTTAGAATCAACAAAGATAACTGTCCTTAATGGAATTATAAATACAGTTACTAAATGGTTAAACTGATGTGAAGCTATGGACAATTGTTAATTATTTTAAGCATTACAAAATTAGGACCCTGATGTCAATGAATTGCAAGTTATAAATTAATTGGATGAGAAGAATGAAAGAATCATTGTAGAATTGAGTGATCAGATTTGACAACTTCACTGTACTAATCAAATGGATATTAATATCTTCCTCAATAATTTAAATGAGCAACAAGTCATGTATATTTTAACTGAAGAAAAAATCATTGCTACAATTACACAAGAAAAAAAAAAGAAAATAATCATGAGGATGATAGTACAGAACTATAAAAAGTTTTGTGTCAAAAAGCTCCAAACATGCTTGAGAAGCTATAAATATTTTGTCTTCAACAAGAACATGTCTATGCTAGCGAGTAATGTACTCACAAGTAAAAAGATATGGTAATAATTTTAAAGCATAAATCATTCTCCCAAACAATTTTAAATAAATATTTTATTTCATCTTAAATTTTTAATGTAACAAACAATATATTTTTTTGTAACATACACATAATTATTACTATGTGGAGATAACTTTTCTTAAGACAGAAATTAAAAAATTTATAACTTATTATAACGTAGAGTTTATTCTTATTTATAACTATTTCAAGTTGAAAATAATTTTTTTTATAATTATGTAGAATTTATTCATAAATAACTTTTACGTAATTACAAACAGAAAGTGAAACTTCTTTACAGATAAGTTCTACGTAATTACAAATAGAAAGTGAAACTTCTTTCCAATCGTTGGAGTTACAATAAAACTGTTACTTGATTGTGATTGTACGGACAATTCTTTTGTTCTGTTTTGGTAAGCGGTCATGAGATTTATGGTGTCTATTTAAATAAGCCACGGTTAGAGATTTTGGAGCTTAAAGTACTATAAGATTTGAAATTTTATATTTATCTCAAATTTCAGGTTGATTACTTGGGGAAATTAGCTTTGAAGATTTTATTATTTATTTGATTTGAAATAATTAATTATTAATATTAAAAACAATTTATTTAAATTCTGTATTAATTAAATTTTAATGTTTAATCCAAATCTTGGATGCTATATTTTCTCAATTCAACATTTAAAATTTTTAAAACTTTATCTATATCTTAATAATAATTTATTCAAGATTGATACATTAACAAATTAAAATTATTAAAAAATATATGTATAAATAGAAGGTAGGCTTGAATGGCATTTTGAGTTAATTCCCATAGATCCCCTAAGGTTTATCTTTTTACAAGTGGCTTGAAAAGATAATTAAGGTAACAGAGAAGTCCTAACAATTAACAACAGTTAGGACAAATTCAACAGAGTAGAGTTTTTGTCTATATAAAGACTATTTTACCCTTAAAATTGAAAATTAAATAAACATTAAAAAAATAATTAATAAAACACAACCCCATCGCTTTATTTTCTCCTCCCCGTCGTGGCACTTTCTCACCTCTTTGCGATCACGACGACACCACAACCCACCCCTTATTTCTCTCCCCGTCGCAAGACCAACCGTCATACTATTATCACGCTTTCTTCTCCTCAACCTCACCTCACCCAACCCCATATAACGGTGGTGCTAAGCTTTTTTAATAGTTCAAATGATAATATTAAAAGTTTAAGAATATAAAAAAAAAAATTTAGTTTCAAAATTTTAAAGATAAAAGATAATCTACTATTTCAAATACTGAATTTGCTTAAATAACCTTTTTCCATCGATAGTGTTATAACGGGAGCTACTGATGTGGGGTTATGTGTTATCTTTTATATGCGTGTTAATCATTGAAACCTCAGGGAGGTCCATGTAATTAACCTTGTTATTTTTAAATTACCAAAAAAAAAAAAAAAGTAATACTAGTTTTACAAAGATACATACAAAGGGGGTATACAAAGACAATTCTCACCCTTGATTTTCATGATTCCTCTCTCTCTCTTTTTCCGTTTTTTCTTTATTTTTTTATTTTTGTTAATGTTACTTTATAACCCTCTTTGTATGAGTCTTTGTAAAGATAACATTAATATTTTTTATTACAATTTTTTCTTTTAACCAAGTTGCATGTGACAAATGGTCACAATGTCGCCGCGACTTTGATGGCCACCCAAGTCTGGCTACATCGTGTGCCAAATTTTGGCCATGGTGTTTGGTTATCTAGCCACCACGTAACCACCATCCCAATCACCATAAAACAACAAATAGAATCTCTAAAAAGTCAAAATTCTTCATATCAATAGCAACCACCATCCAAAAATATTCATCTCACAATAGCAAACAAAGAATCTTAGTGATCGGTTCGGGGTACTTTTTTAAGGAAATGGAATCGATTAGTTTCAAAAATTTAGAATCAAAACCAGAACTTGAAATATAGGCTCTAGCTCAGGTTGTAGGTACCTGAGTTAATTTTAATTACTCCATATTTTAAAAAAAAATGACAAACACATCTAAAAAACTATGTACACACCAATAGTTTAAAAAAATTACAATTTAGTCATGGTTTCTATCTGGGTATCCGAATCTCGATTTCGATTTCAATTCCTAGTTCCATCACTATAGGAACAGAAACCGAACCCAAGAACTCCCGATTCCAATTTTCTAGAACTAGAAACAGACCCTAATAGGGTCGGTTCCGATTCCTAGTCGAATTGATAGGTGGGTATCTACCGGTTCTAGTTCTACCCTTACCCATACTCACCCCTAATTAATTTTATGGTATGTTTGGTATGACTTATTCTAATAAAGCTTATAGAAGAAAGTTTATTAGAGTGGACTCTGGAGTTTATGAAAATATAACTTATATGAAAAAATTGTTAGTTGTTTGGTTAGAAAAAAGTAGAAAAGCTATTTAATATTAATTTACCGAAAAAGACATTAGCATACAAAAATAAATCAAGTCAAATCTATAAAATATAACAAAGATTTTTTAAAATTTCAACATTTTATCTATACTTAAAAAGAGCTTAAAATGCGAAACGACAACTATACCCTTTTTTTTTACGTAATTTGCCGGAGTCTGACACGGACTATAACAACCGTTCCAGATTTTAGTGGACCAAATGTGTTTGGAATAAACCTCAGGATGAAAATGTTAATAACTCGATATAAATGGGAATATCCAATTATCCGTACACAAATCAATATTGTTCGCTTGGGTCCAACGCTTGACCTGACCTGCAATTTGGATTTTTCGGTATGACTTTTTAGTCACTTTGAAGTGAAAATTTTATATCAAATTTGATTAATTGATGAATATATCCGTGTTGAGAATCGGACGAATTATGTTTTCATTTTTTTACCAAATTCTATGGTGAAAATTGTTTACTTTAGATTATTTTTTATCTGGGTGTTTACTTTTCTATGCGGATGTTTGATTTCTTTATTTTATATTTTTTGTTCGTGGGAATTCACAAGCTTGAAGTTCCTAATTTTCTTGGAAAAACTTTAATTTTCCTAAGAAACAAACAGAAACTGGATTTTAGAGAAACAATTACACAGGGTTTCGATAGGGTCTTTAGTCATTAATTAGTGTTTTTAGGTTTAGATACTATGAAGGTTGTTGTTTGACTAAAAGGGATTGTGTTGCACTGGATTTAGATTGGGAGACTCGATGAAGCAGAGGGTTTTTGACTGACTGCTTTTGAATGATGATTGGGCGAAATGAGAAAGCTAGTTCAGAAACTTTTCTATACAAGGAAGCTATGTTACCATAAAGGCTAGCTAACTCTAACATTTAATGAGAATAAAATGTGTGTATGCTGTGACATGTTGTGATTATTGCTTGGGTTGTAGCATGCTGATTGTGCATAATTATGGTATGATCATATCATTGGCTCCGGTAAGGATTAGGTATTGTGGCTCTTTTGGCTAAATTGGTTAGATTTCATGTTGTATATGTAGCGGTTATGAAATGAGGTTTCGGGTGTATTGTTCTAGACTTTGGTGTATGCAATCATGCATAATGAAGACAAAAGAAGAGAGAAGAAAGATTTAAACTTAACCATGACCTTATCTTTCTGCACATTAGAAAACTTCAAGAAATTATTAACTAGGAAGAATTAGCAAAATATTAGTACTATAGTACTATACCTTTCTTTTGGTATTTTTTTTCTTGTTTAATAATATGGATGCATATTCAACCAAACTGATCCACAACCCAACTTGCCAACAATGATTATTGGAGAGGTTAGGTCTCTATTGTTATTATTTTAGTTAGACTTGGGTTGACATGGACCACAAATTAGATTTTGGGCTGTGCTTGGTTTGGTTGTCCATAACTCACTGTTTTGAACTGAAGGGCTGTGTAATATTGTTTGTGTATTTTGTTTTTGTATGCATAAATAATGTATTAGGAAATAGTGGATCCTTTTTAAAGTGGTTTGCTGTTAACTGGAGAAACTTAAAATGTATTTCTAATCCTAAGAACCACTTTTGATGTTCACTTTTGTCACCCTAAATGAACGTTCTTTTCTTTTTTTTCTTTTTTTGTTCCTTTTCTTCTTTGCAGTTTTATTTTGTAATGGATTTTAATTTTTATGTAGTATTTGTTACTTTGTTTTTAGGTTAGAATTTGATGGATACCAATAATTGGAGGCCTACTTCTCAAGGCGGAGAACCCATCATGGACACTGGTGATTGGAGAAATCACTTGCAGCCTGATTCACGACAAAGAATTGTCAAAAAGATGTAAGTTCCCTTTTCTTTTTCTCCCTGCTATAAATCTGTTGCTTAAAAATTAACACTTTTAGTTTTGCAATTTGGCTTGGATCCTATAGGCAGTTGTAGTGATTTGTATGGTTACTGAAGTTTGTAGTCACTAGTTAGTGAGACCACCATGAACGACTCTTTATCCGCTGTTGACAAGTTGTTTGTTAAGTTGGCGTGTGAACACTGAGAATTGAAGCATGGATCAGCTAGCAGATAGGGGGCCAGTCTGTGGATTACAAATATAAAGCTTGAGTGCCAAATTCATCTGATAGGGTTTAATGCACTCTGTCATTCTGGACTACCTATATGAGAATACATCCTTGTCTCAAAAATTATTGTTTGGAGTACCATTGTAACTGTGCTATGGAGAAATAACAGGTCACTGATAGCAAAAGAGGTTTCCTGCTTAGTAGTTCTTTATCATTAATGTGTACTTATATTGAGTTAACATGGAAACAAGGGAGTGTGGAAGATGCTTCACTACAAATAAAAGGATTTAAGTTATTTTAAAATGGCATGTCGTAAACCAGATATTGATGTGTCACCATCTTGCTTGTGATGGAGTTATTTATCTAGAATTATGTGGTCTCATGTGATGATAAACATGGCTTATGTCATTATTAAGTCCATTCTTTTGAACATCAAGAGATATTTGTTTACTCCAAATTCTTTTCATGGAGGATCATGATCACTCCACTTGGCTAATATCTACTTTCTTTTTTGGCAGCAACATATGAGTTTGAAACTGAAATTTATTATCAGTAGGAAGCTGAAAATATTGAGTCATTGAGTTACAATATGACTATTAGCTTACAAGTTGCTCTGAAAGAATATTCCTATTTCTTACTAATATTTGTGAGCATACATCCAAAATCTCATACTCTAACAATGATTGTACAAACATTCCTTGGTTCTTTTTGGTATGAAAGGCTAAGATGTCATGAAATATACGGTTTTTTATTTAAATAAGTTATGGAAAATTAGATTAGTTCAAGTTGGTGCTTTCTCAAAAATTTCTTTCATGGTTCGATTGTTAATCAATTATGGATTACCGAATAAGGTTTTTCTTGGTAAGAACAATACTTGCACGATCAGCACTCACTTTGTTTTATCTACGTAGTACGGATACACTGAAGAGGTGTCTTCCTTTTGGATTGATGAACTACAGAAAATTGCTGGAAGGTTTGAGGAGAAGATATATACCGCTGCAACAAGTGAGGTAAAATTTGATCTGAGTTCTATAATGTTCATTGATCTATACACTATTTCCGTTATTGGACTCATTTTGTGGTAGCCAGCTAGTCCTTCTTTTCAAATATCATAGAGTGCGTTTGGTTTAGTATTTGGATAGGATTTTGAGGATAGTATTGGATAGTTGGATAGGGTTAGATTACGAGAATAGGATTTTCAGAATATGTGTTTGGTAGAGTATTTTGACCTGATATTTGTGTTAAATATTTGATTAATATATTTGTTTAAAATGATTTATTAATATAATTTTATTGTATTTTGTTAAAATAATGTATTATTATATATATAACTTATCACCTCACATTTTAATAATACTAAATTTTTTGGGAATTTTTTTACCCGATATATTACAAAACAAAAACCCTATTAATTTCAAGTAGTAATCCAACTGTTTAAAAACATCACATTAATACATATATGATAAAAATACTAATTATCAACCTTAAATCATTATTACACAGTTACCCATTAACAACTATGACATGGTCTACTGTGCTACCCACAGTGCATTCGTTATGTTTATCGTACAGTCATCATGTTGTCATATATACCTTGTTGCGGTTGATCGATCCTTCTCCATTTCGGCCATATTCTGCCCCGTTTTGATGATCACAATATGCTTGCTCATACCCGTACATTTATGGTTTGTTCGAAGATACGGTCGTCCATATTGTACATTCTTATAAAATTAGAAGTACACAACATGCCATGACAATCTTCCCTTGTTTGTCCAACGGATAATTGTTCATTCCATTTAGAATACAGAACCGTTTTTTCAACACCAAAGGGTCTCTCGTAACATTGCGGAGTGAAGCATGGGTAATTAACAAATCTGTGGCCCCCTTCGGTTACGGCGGTGATCAGAAATATAGTAAGCCACTGCCTAGAGGGGCGAGGAACTATCCCTATTTGCATAACCCGCATCAACCAAATAGTATTTCCTGTATATATCAGACATTTTATTTGAATACAGGGCCTCAACAGTGGATGTAATACGCTGTAATACGTCAAGAAAATACTTATACCTGGTGGAGGATATGGGAATCCAGAATTAGGAAATCAATAATGAATTTAAAACTCTTGAATCATGCGCTGATCCTTCCCATCCAGTAACGCAATAAGTGAACATCATGTTAAAGTCGCATACAGCCATTATATTCTGTGACATCGATCCTTTGCGTTCGGTACCTATTGGCAAATTCAGTGGAACCGAAGCGTAACATGTGTGCCATCCATGGCCAATACAGTCCTATCATGAAAATGAGTCATTTCACTAATATTAACCTAATAAAACAAATTAATAACACAATGAACTTAAACTATCTACTAATAGCAAACATAATGAACCAGTACCTTAAAGAAAGGGTAATATTTTCTGTTGGCTGATATTTCCCATGGAAAATATTGAAGTCAGGTGGTCTGATAAACTCTGTCTTCAACTCACATATAGGGTCGCAAACGCGGTAACATGTCTAGATATGTCTCACCCGAATGTTGGAAATCCTCCATCATCGTTCTGATTGTCTCATTTTTTCCAACGATTGTTAGAAATATCATAACTGTTCTTCTAAACTGTCCCCTGGTTGGTTGCAATTTGCCTTGATTGGACAAAAATTCACATAACAATGTAAAACAGTCTGTCCATGCGCACTTGTCATAGATCCTGTCAGATGACTGTGTAGTACTTCAACATGTACTTGAACCAGTTAATACAGAGTATGTCGTGGTTGAGGTCGACTTGCTTCTAACGCGGCAACACCGCATAGTGCAATGGCTATATCTGTCAGTATTTTTCTTGGCCCTCTTTCTGTAGCACGTGTCTTCTTCCTGTACGGCTAGACGACGCCATTTAAACCTAACATTTGCAAAACATTATCAACAATTAGCAGTTGTTGTACTACTTAGAAAAATATAACAGTCAATATTTAATTGTAATGGTAATCTAAAACAGTGTTTACACATACAATATCACATAAATAAGTTCATACAGTAGTGTTATAAATTGTAATTAATGACAATGTGCCACTGACGATACAAAATTGTTGCCAAACAATTATGAAAATAGTGTCATTACGAATTATTGGAAAAAGTTTTGTGAATCCAGTTAGCCTTTCCTCCAGTGAGAGTTTCACAAATATCTCCGCCACCTGGATTTTCATATAAGTACATGACAGCCGGCAGATAAAACTGTGTCGGTACTTGCATGGGCGTCATGATGTCAATACAATTGCATGGAGAAAGGATCAGATGGAGCACTGGTGTTCGCTTCTTCCCTCTCATCTTCAGTCGCATTGGAAGCCGGATCCCATGTCCGCTTTTCCGCAAGCTCATCCGTAAGCTAAAAATGGCATCCGAATTGAATGTCCGGGCCCCCTTCTATGCCTCCGATTTCTCGCTCCTCCATGACCAGATGTGCTTGGCCGTTTTCCCTGCTCAAACGATCAGGATCAGGTTCAAAGTCGCTATCATCCATAGGAACCGAGCCGGGATTGGAATAACTGGAGGGCTCCACCTGTTGGGATGTAGATGACGCATATCTTCCAGTGGCAGTTTGCTTCTCAAATATTATTTCATAAAGTCCTTGTGGGGAAGTCCCTGTGGTAAAATTGTTGCGCCAGTGGGTTTTGCTGTAAGTTAAAAGAATAATAATTAATATTTAGCAGTCCGAAAAAAATGCGTATATTTACAATGACGTTGAATATAATAGTTAAAAAATATGAAAATTTACCTTGACATATTTTTGCAAACTGAACGGGACACGTTGGACTTTGTGACTCCTGATCCACCCGAATCCTGTGTGTGCAGCATTCCGCCATGCTTGATAAAGTTTTCGCAGGCGAAAGAACTTAGAGGCTAATTGTGTCACGTTGAGTCTCCTGCCAGCAGTGATGATATGCGTCCAACTTTCTTGGTAATCAGCTGTTTATTGACATACCATGTGAAGTTTTGGCCCGCTCAGATACAAGACCAGAAATCTGTGGGTCATCTCAGCAGACCAAGCACAGAATCACCCATCTAAGGACAGTACGGTGAGGGACAACCAACATTGGGGCACCATACGAATCACCAAGCACATAACACAAAATAATACTCACATGTTAACGTAATCAACTAAACACATATAAATTATACCTCGTTCGATCCGACACTGCTTGAAGATGTCAATGCAGGGGAAGATACAGACAATGTCGACCAACTGGGTGTATGACGAACTCCAACTCTGGAAAAACGTCAAAACTTTCGCCTCTGTTGCAAGTAATAATCAATCTGCGACGTCGAGACAAATTATGCTGACATCTATGCATATGAGCGTAATTTCTGGGTACGATAAAGAACGATGTCGAATCTACAGAACAAATAAATCAATTAGTGAAACCGGAATAAAATATTTGAGTTAACCAAATCAAAACGCATTATAAAGTCCAAATTAAAGGATAATGAAAAGAAAAAAAACAGTACTAATACAAATTTTTTCCAAAAAAAAAAAAAAATGAAAAAAAATGCGGCTCGGTGTTGAAAACAAAAGGTAACGGAAACTTACAAACTTGTTGGATACGTCGTGGGTCTCTTTCCCTTCTCTGAGTCAGATAAACATCAAATACAATTAAAGGATCCGTGTGTACACGAGATTAAAGTTGTCAAACAAAACAAAAAAACCAATTAAAACAATTCTGTGCCAATTGCAGATAAAATAAAAACCCAATTAAAACAATTATGCCAATTGCCTAATAAAATAAAAAAATCAATTAAAACAAAAAAAACCAATTAAAACAATTAATTGCGAAAAAACCCAATCACTTTTACGCAGATATGAGATGGGTTTGTTTTATTAGTGGACACCGATTTTCCCAAAAAACAGCTAATTGTTTTTCAGAAAAAAAAATCAGGTGTCCACTAAGAGAAATGCAACTACGGTGACGGTGGGTGTCGGTTTTACGCAGATATGAGGTGGGTTTGATGGAGATTGGGGGTGGGGTTTGATCCAGATCACGGTGTGGGTTTGCGGCAGATCGGGTCACAGTAGCGTGGCGTGGGGGCTCGGGTGGGGGCTTGTGGCGTAGATGGGTCGTGGGGGCTCGGGGTGGGCTGGTTTGGGGTAGATCGGGTCGTGGTGGGTGCGTGGGGGCTCGGGGGGGTGGTTTGGGGTAGAGCTCGGTCGTGGTGGGGTGGGGGCTCGGGGTGGGCTGGTTTGGGTAGATCCGGTCGTGGTGGGTGGTGGGGGTTGGGGTGGGCTGGTTTGGGGTAGAGCTGGGTCGTGGTGGTGCGTGGGGGCTCGGGGTGGGCTGGTTGGGGTAGATCGGTCGTGGTGGGTGCGTGGGGGTCGGGTGGGCTGGTTTGGGGTAGAGCTCGGGTCGTGGTGGTGCGTGGGGGCTGGGGTAGGCTGGTTGGTTTGGGTAGATCCGGTCGTGGTGATGCGTGGGGGCTCGGGGTGGGCTGGTTTGGGGTGAGCTCGGGTCGTGGTGGTGCGTGGGGGCTCGGGGTGGGCTGGTTTGGGGTAGATTCGCGTGGGGGGTGCGTGGGGGTCGGGGTGGGCTGGTTTGGGGTAGAGCTCAGGTCGTGGGGTGGGCGTGGG